TTTTCCCCCTTTTTCCCCCCCCCCCCCCCTTCTTCTACTGTTTGCTTTTGTGGTCAGGGGAATCTTTTTTATAAAGCTTCAATAGACTTGAAGGTCTTTGTAAGTGAAGTTCATCTTCAAGGTTGGAAAAAAAAAAAAAAGGATCGGATCCTTAAAGAAACCCCTTTTGTGCACCTTCCTTTAAAACTCCCAGGAACGTTTGATGGTGACATGGAGAAGCTTTTTTCTGCCCCAAATTTCCCCCACTTCAAGATTTCCCCACTTAGCTGCGTTGTCCCAAAATGGGGAAAACTTTGTAGCTGGTGAGAAACTTTCTAAGCGATTCCCCCCTGCTCCCCACACCCGGACTGGGGACCCCTTCCGTACGGAAAACAACCCTCGTCCCGCTCCCTCTTGGCCCGACACCGATGATATCGCAAATCCCCCGAAACTCCAACCGACTCAACCCCTGGGTGAGAGGCCCAGGCCATCGCCATTTTGCCATCAATTTTGGAGAGAAATAGCAAACCCCAATTTCCTGAAGCCCATCCCCAAGGCTTGTATAATTGCTGTTTTCTCCCCCAAAACAGCGCTGAGCTCTGCAACACAAGGGAATAATTTTCTGCCTAAACCGACACAGCAGTTGCTCCCTCCCATTGCTTAAAACTTCCCCATCTTTGCAAACGCCCTCATTGATAAACCTCAATTACGCCCCCTAAAAATGCCATCTTTCCCCCTTTTTTTTTTGGGGGGGGAGGGAGGGGAATCATCACCCCCACCGAGCTTGGCAAAAATAAAATTACAAGCGCCGCAATGGCCGGCTCCGGCCGTGCCTCATCCCCCACCCCACATTTACAGCCCAGGAGCTTTAAAAAGTTTAATTTTTCCTCCCACGAGAGGAAAGCACCAGCCGTGGGAGATGATAACAGGGCCCCCTGCTCTCCCCCACCACCGGCCTGGCCTCAAGCCCTTCATCAGAGGTGCCAGATTTATTATTCCTGGTTTTATTTGGGGGTGCAGACCCCCCGTTTCCTCCCATCCGAGGACCCCCCCATCCCCGGCGCCGGTGGCTCTGCGGCAGCCCCAGCGCAACGCCAATCCCGGCTTCTCTAATTGATATTGATTGGCCAAATCGGTCAACTGTCAGCCAGAGTTTCAGGGGACCACTTAGAGACCAGGAGAGAAATCTGTTTAACAAATTCATTTAGGAATCAGAGATGCCTCCCGCAAGCCATCTCCTTTCCCCCTTTATAAATAATTGATCCAGAGCAAAACACCAACAACTCTTCCTCCTGGGAAAGCGTCCTCAGCCCGAGGGGCTGGGTACCACCTTCCCCTCCCAGGGCCCTGCATCGCGTCCTCGACGCTGCCATCAGTCATTTTCGGAAAGGACAAACGCAAGAGGCTCTGGAGCCATCCCCTGTCTTACTCTTGGTAGGGAGGGACGTGTCCCCTCTCCCAAACGTCCCCTTCCAGCCCAGCCCCGGGGCACGCACGGCCGCCTTTACCTTTGTCGCCCAGGATGCCGTCTATGCTGTGCTTGGCCTTCTTCTCCCCGTCTTCCTCCTTCTTGTCGCAGTCCTCCTCTTCCTCTTTCTTCCCGAATTTGATGCGTAGCACACGGCTAATCGAACTCACTAAACCTCAGACAGTCAAAGACAAAAAGGCAAGTATAAGCTGCCTGGGAAGGCAAGGTAGGAGACGGCCGGGGCTTGGGCAGGAGGCCTTGCACAGACACGAAGGGCATCCGCACCCCTTTTTCCCAGGGGTATGCACCTGCCCAGTCCTCCGTGCTCTCCGAAACACCCCTGGGTTCACCCCCGCCGTCGCACCGAGCTGCCAAGCTGGACGCCCAAAGTTGGACGCGCTCGTCACTGTCCCCCTGAGACACCCGGCACGAGCAGCACCCGATCGTGTGCAACACCCCACGGAGCATCTCAGCCGGTGCAACACCCCGGGTTGCGCACCCCCAGGGTTATCACCTGCTTCGTAACAGGGAGAAGGCCCCCCAATACCCAGCTTTCACCCCAGCCCCAAATGGGACCCCACAGGCTGGATTCAGACCTGGGCCCTGTCCTGCTTTGGGGCAGGTGTGCCCTGCAGAGAAGGCTCAGCCCCCCCAAAGCAGAGGGGAACTCTCAGCCAGGCCCAAAAAGCTCACACGTCCCTGCAGACCCAATATTGGGGTGCAGGGTCGCTTTCCACGGGCAATGGGGATCCCTGGCTGATGGAAACGCTGCTCTGCAGCCCCCCACTGAGCAAGCAAGTCCCAACAGGACAACCGGGGTCCCCTTTAACCCTGGATTTGGGGTCTGCCTCCGTGCACGCTCCCTCCACACCGGGAGCCCCCCTGCTTTCAAGGGAGTTGGAATAAGTCGGGAAAGTTGGTTTGTTTGTGTTTGTTTTTCCAGCAGACCACGGCGCGGCCAGGGCACAACCCCCCCTCGCCTGGTGTTTATTTGCTGCTGTGGGTTTGCTTGGGGTCATTTTTTTTTCCCCCCCCTCCCCTATCAAAGCAAAAGCCAAGAGGATGTTTATAGCCCCCGGAAACATTTTTGGTGGCGACTATCGTTCCCCTCCATCTTCCTGCAGGTATCGGGGTGTCCTTCTTGCCAAGCTGCCTTCTCACCTGAGGGCACGGTGCTCCGGTCGCAGTGCCCATCCTTCAGGAGCCTGTCTCGGATCTCCCAGCTAAACATCCCGGGGTTTTCCCGTTTGTATTCCTCGATTTTCTTCTCCACGTCGGGAGTCGCAACCTGCTTTTGTGATCAAGGGACACCGGTGCGTGCCCGCGTGCGCAGAGAGAGGGAAGGGGAGAGAAAAAAGCGCTTTTAATTGAAAAGAGAAGCTGTTCGGCTCAGTTCACAATCCTCCTCGCCCTGGCTGCTAGTTTTGGGGCTAAGAATGGGGATTCGAAGGGGGAAAAGGAGGAAAATAAAGCTGGGGAAAGGCCCTCCTCTCCCAAATGTTAGCTTCCCTAAAAGTAGAGTCTCTGGGGGCCAAGGAGATCAGCCAGGATGGGCTTATCCCGAGCCCCAGGGGGGAAGGAGGCAGGAAGGGGGCGCAGGGGATGCTTTTTTGGGGGGGTTTGATATACACCCAACGAGTTATTATTCCCCGAAACACCCCGGCTTGCCTCCTCCCCACACACCGGGGCCGAAGCAAATGCTTGAATGCGTGCCACTTGTTGCACATGGGGAAGAAAAAAAAAAAAAATCACTTTAATTTATTCATAGCCTTCAACTCTGCACCGCTTTCTACCCATCCGAGCCTGCAAATTGCAGCTTTATTAAAGCCCCTTCCCCTCCTCCCCCCCTTCCCTGCATGTCCACCTGGAAAAACTTATACCCCCCCCAAGAAACCTTTATTTTTATATATTTTTTTTTAACATAAGGAGGGTGGTTTAGCGTGGCCCCCGCATTGCACTCACCCTGGGCTTGCTGCCTCCGATGGCTCCGGGACGGATGGAGCCCGTCTCCTGGTACCTGCAGAGGATTTTGGAGACGCAACCGTGGGATACCCGCAACTGCCGGGAGATCACGCAGGGCCGGATCCCGTGGTGGGCCATCTCCACGATTTTGTGACGGATGTGGTTGGGCAGTGGTCGACCGTTGATGAACACCCCTCCGAGCTGGTTCACCCTGCCCTGGCCCAGCGGGGTGGAAACTGGAGGGCGAGGGAAGAAAAAACCCAACAACAAGGTGTGTGGGGGGGGCAAGTCAAAAGAGGGAAAAATCCAGCAAAACGGGGCGCGTCCCTCCCCGCACCTTCAGCTTCTCTCCCGGTATTTGAATTTTTCAGAGGGAGAAGCCTTTCGCCCATCCCCTGGCCTCGGTATTTCTCTCCGCATCGCGGGCAAGACTTTTCCCATCGAGAGAGGGAAAATACAAGCCGCCCACGACCCGCACGCCCGCCGCCCCGCTCTCCGAGGTGGCCGCTGTGCTTGTGTCTCTCCCTCTCTCTATTTTGGCATTCCACACCTATGCTTTAAATCACATCCGACGTTTTAAGTCAGGAAAGATTTAAAACCGCACGGCAAAGCCCCCCAAAACTTCCCATTTCCCCCCCAAAAGCGCACTCCACTTCTTGCTTCAAATTACGGCGCTCTCTGCTTTCAAACAAACTTTCGGAAATAACCTCTTTAAATACCCTCGGGGGGCTTTTTTGTTTGTTTGTTTTTTTTGGGGGGGGGCTTTGTGGTTTTGGGGGGGTTCTGTCGGGCGGTTTGGGGAGGTGCGGAGCAAGCGCGGATCCCCCGCGGCCGCGCCGCTTCCCCGACACCTTGCGCGGCGCATCCCCGCCCGGAGCAGGGGACCAGCGGCTCCGTCATCCCCCACCCCCACTTGAAAAATTAAAAAAAAAAAAGAAGGGGGGGGAAGAACTCAGCTGGGTAATTTGCAGAAAGGCTGGAGGGGGCGAGGGACAGAGAAGGCGAGGGGGTGATTTTTCCTCTTTATACAAAGAAAAGTCGATTCCAGAAATTGCCTCGCGATTTAACAAGAATCATGCACCACTAATTCCAAGTCACTTGGCCAGCACTCCCTGGATATATCATTATCGACAGATAACACTCGAGTGGCCAATTTTACATTCAAGAGGTACTAAAACCGCCGGCCGCTCTCTCTTTTCATTATTCCCAGTCATGTTGTGCAAATATTGTTGTAATCCTTTGATCCTTTCCCTTGCCGTCTGTTTTACTTCATTTGCTACAGAAAAGCACTTCAGCAAATCCCCCCAGCTTGTATGTTTTGCAGCCTGCGTGGTTTTCCACAGGTTTGAGTTTCGCCACTTGATCACGGGCTGGATGAAATTTTCCTGTTTAATAAATGCGGGGAGAGGGGTCCCGCTGTAATTTTGCCTTTTTTTGTGTGCGTGTGCCTGGAAATAATAACCCCGTAACACAAAGAAATGGCAGATGATGGGGAAAGTTGATGCGCTGCGAGGTGGGGGATGACACTTAGCGAGGTGACAGCTACGAAGTGTCCCGTTCCCCCCCCCCTTTCCCCTCGCCAGCCCCGGCCGAGGACATCTCGGTCGCCCACAGCCCGGATACCCCCGGCTTAGGGTTTGGTGGGTTTTTTGGGTGGTCGCCAGCCCCGGCCGAGGACATCTCGGTCGCCCACAGCCCGGATACCCCCGGCTTAGGGTTTGGTGGGTTTTTTGGGTGGTTTTTTTTTCTTATTTTCTCCCAGAAAAGTTGAAAATAATCGGTGTGGTCGGTTTTCCCCACCTTTTCGGGGAGATTAAATCGCCGGGACATTTGCGGGTTTAAAAACCCCAAACCCCAAACCAACCCAAACCATGAGAACCTGCCCCCAAAAATCTGCGGGATGCCTGAAACTACTTTAAATAGCGGGGGGGGGAAGAAAGAAACCAAAGCCCGGTAATTTCGCGGGGACGGAGCAGCCGCAGCAGGAAGGGAAGGAGCTAAATATGGGCGAGAAGTTGGGTGTTCAGGTCGGAGGACACCCCCCCGTCCCCCGTCCCCGCATCCCCGGCTGCAAAGTTTAGCTGCATCCCCACCCGGAGCAGCCCGGCCCGGCCCCCCCGGCCCCCAACACCCCCCCGGCCCG